TCGAGCCCCGCATCGGGCTCTTTGCTCAGTGAGGAGCCTGCTTCCCCCTCTCTCTCTGTCTGCCTCTCTGCCTACTTGTGATCTCTCTCTCTCTCTCTCTCTGTAAAATAAATAAATAAAATCTTTTAAAAAATTAAAAAAAAATAAAACCTTTGTTTCCTTAAGCCTCAGCTTTTTAAAACAAAACAAAACAAAATAAAATAAAAAGTTAAAGGACCTCCGGAACAACTCCATTGGGTGTTTTGGCCCTTTTGAATATCCTTCTTAGTGAAGGTGTGGCTCCCACCTAAAAAGGCAACATTGTTAACATTTAGACAAGCGAATTCAGTTTTGCCCGTGGTTTGGTATTAACTAGAGTGGGCACATATAATTAAAACCTCCGCATTTGTGAAAACTGTTTTTAAGTTTTGATTTTTTGAGTAGTTCCCCACATTGATTTTTCCTATATGTGACTCACTGTTCTCATGTGCAAAATAAGGATAATAACCACCTCACTGAGGAGCGGTAGAAATTAAAATTTATTATCATCCCCTATATGTGTTTATAGAGAGCTGGCATGAAAAGCATTGGCAAATAGTAGATTTTTTTAAGTTCCTGTGCCCCAAGGGCATGTTCTTGGCTTACTGCCATAGCTGTCTTCTATAGAGTTGGTAGGAATAGGCCTAGAAATATTTTGTTGAGGAACAGAGAGAGAATTTCCATCCTTTTCCAGAAGAACTTCAGGAGTTTCTGGAGGTGGAGCTCTTTCCTCGGAGTCAATAATCCGTAGCATTTAGATGGGGATATGCTGGCTATGACTAACCAGTTCTGCAGGTACAGAAATTAGTCACAGGCACAGAGGCAAGATGTAGCTCTGGCATTGTCACCAGCTTCTTTGAAATCATGCTTCAGTCTTCAATTCTACTTTCCCAGTAGATGAGTGGACTCTGGAATTGGTTGTGATTTCTTGTTCTAAGTCATTCAGTTTTTTATATAGGTTTTTCAAAATGTCTTCAAGTTACAGAAAATGTGGAAGCATAGTAAAGTAAAAAATACAATATGGGGCGCCTGGGTGGCTCAGTTGGTTAAGCGACTGCCGTCGGCTCAGGTCATGATCCTGGAGTCCTGGGATCGAGTCCCGCATCGGGCTCCCTGCTTGGCAGGGAGTCTGCTTCTCCCTCTGACCCTCCCCCTTCTCATACTCTCTCTCTCTCAAATAAATAAATAAAATCTTTAAAAAAAAAATACAATATGATTTACTCATATATGGAACTTAAGAAAACAAATGAACAAGAAAATACAAATGAAAAGAAAATGAACAAAAAAAAGACAAACCAAAAAACAGACTCTTAACTATAGATAACAAACTGGTGGTCACCAGAGGGGGATGGATGGAGAATAAGTGAAATAGGTGATGGGATTAAAGAGAATATTTATCATGTTGAGCCCTGAGTAATATAGAGAATTCCTGAATCACTATGTTGTACACCTGAAACTAATAGAACACTGTGTGTTAACTATTACACCTGAAACTAATAGAACACTGTGTTAACTATACTGGAATTAAAATTTTAAAAAATATTAGAGGTACCTGGGTGGCTCAGTGGGTTAAGCCTCTGCCTTCAGCTCAGGTCATGAGCCCAGGGTCCTGGGATCGAGCCCCGCATTGGACTCTCTGCTCAGTGGGGACCCTGCTTCCCCCTCTCTCTCTGCTTGCTGCTCTGCCTACTTGTGATCTCTCTCTCTGTCAAATAAATAAATAAAATCTTAAAAAAAAATAAACTAATCTCTTCACCCAGTATAGGGCTTGAACTCAAGACCCCGAGATCAAGTGTCACGTGCTCTACTGACTGAGCCAGCCAGGCACCCCGGGGCTTAGATATTTTATAAATGGCAGAGGCATATAGGGTGAATTGGGGGAAGAGAGATTGGTAGGCAGACCAGCTGGGTTTGTTTTTGTTTTTAAGTGATTTTTAACTTTGTAAAACCAGTTAGTTGACAGTGCCATTGGTATGAAGTAACAAAGGCATAAGCTGTGGTTTTGGAATAGAAGATAGAAGTTGGAAAAACAAACCTCTCTGTCATCAGGTTCATGACATTATCACTTACAAGATGCACCATTATTTGTGTACCATGAAGACTGAAAAAACATTGACAGACTCTAGCACAGCGCTGATCACTTAGAATTTTTATTTTATGCTTATTGAAAGAGCTCCTTCAAGCTTATTTAGACATAGATTTTAATTGTATTGCATTTTATATAGTATCAAAAAAGGAAAGTGAAATAAACTGATACTCCTAAAACTTCTTCACTTCCACAGCCCAGTGCCTCTGAATAACTTCTTGTTGCAAAGTCATCATCGTCTGTGACATTTCATGTAATATCGTCCTCTCTGCCATCAAGAGCATGAGTGCTGCTGCATAGCTTTATTTATTTATTTATTTATTTATTTATTTATTTTTGACAGATGGAGATCACAAGTAGGCAGAGAGGCAGGCAGAGAGAGAGGAGGAAGCAGGCTCCCTGCTGAGCAGAGAGCCCCATTTGGGGCTCGATCCCAGGAGTCCGGGATCATGACCTGAGCGGAAGGCAGAGGCTTTAACCTGCTGAGCCACCCAGGTGCCCCAAGCTGCCTGCATGGCTTTAAAGAGCGCTCCACTATTGTCTCTAGACTTTTTTCCAAGCTGCAACAAGTTTGATGCTGGTGTTTATTGATCTTACCAGAAAGATCACTGAGGAGATTATCTAACTGCAACCAAGACTCAACATTCCTTTTCAAATGGTTTGTTGATTGAAAAGGCAAGGGGTTGCAGTCATGCTCCTAGAGAGAGCAGCGGTGTTCACAGATGTGCAGCCTGGGACAGCTGGGCCTCAGGTTGCCTCATCCACAGCAATTTCAAGATGTATCCCAATTTCAGAGGACTGATATGTGAGAAAGAATATGCATCTGAGGACCGCTAAGTCAGAACGAATTGAAACACTAGCTTGATCATTCTGGGGAAGTTTGCTGAGCAACCTTAAAAACACTGTGGTCACAGCTGAAGTTATTTTGTTGTAAATTACTTGGAGAAATGCTCTACTAGCAATTTTTTTTTTTTTTTTTAAAGATTTTGTTTATTTATTTGTCAGAGGGAGAGAGGAGCAAGCACAGGCAGACAGAGTGGCAGGCAGAGGCAGAGGGAGAAGCAGGCTCCCCGCCGAGCAAGGAGCCCGACACGGGACTCGATCCCAGGACGCTGGGATCATGACCTGAGCCGAAGGCAGCTGCTTAACCAACTGAGCCACCCAGGCGTCCCAATTTTTTTTTTTTAAACTCAAGATATTTTTTAAGGAATTAGGTAGCACTGATAAGTTCAGCAAAATGCCTGGATACAAATTCCTAGAATTTTACTGATCCATAAAAATGGCCAAAAATTGTTTGAAACTGGCTAATGTAATAGTATGCTTTCCTGTCTTTGCCAGGTATTTCTAGCACGGTGAAATTTATTTTTATACTATTATCATTCACTCTTACTACAGGCCTACATACTGATATAATGGTTTAACCTGATACATTGAAGTTCAAAGACCACATCTGGGCTGGTAGCATAAAAACTCTACATAGGATACAGAAACCTAGAAAGCAGAAAATAAAAGTCCTTAAAGTTGGCATGGCAGCCCTAGCTGCTTATGTTACAGTAAATATATTGGCAATGATTTCTGAAATTTTCTTTTGTGTTAGAAACCAGGCTAAAACTGAATCTCTAGGATGATAATGATTAAACATGTTTGTACTGTTCTTCTGTCATCCCCTTCATTGTTTACCTATTTGGAAGGTTCTCTAACTGCAAAAGTTGTACTTTGTAGGCAACAGTAATTTTCATTTTTCCACACGGTTGAGATGGATTATGGGAACCGTTCCTTTTTAATCCTCATAATGAGATACTTCTAAGAAAGTTTGTCCTGATTGAGAGTCCAGTCTGGAGCAGAAAACCCAGGACTTAATATTGTCGTAATTTTTGGATACCTCATTTTCTCTTCCCTTTTTTCTAAGATAATGGCTTGAGCCCTGAAAGCAGGTTAATTTCCTATCCCATCTTGTTATATTTCCACAATTTCATGGCTGCTTTGTTATCCCCTAAGGTGTCCTTATCCCCTGTGTATTCTTATAAGTGAATGAACCCGTTATTAGTGGCTGTAGGATCCCATGTCTGCCTACCATTTCTGCTCATCAAGGAGGAGTGTGTGCATGTACAAATGTGCTGCTGTTAAGTTCTGTCTTTGGAGAGACCTTTCACTAGTAGTGGAAAGAAAGGAGTCAGAACAATGATTCCTGGTTCAGACCTGAGCATGTCAGAGCTACAGAGACTTCATGGATTCGAAGGCTACCTCTGTCACCAGAGAGGACCAGAAAGGAGGAGGGCTTGACTGGGGGTTCTCTCTGGCCCTGGGCCTTGCTGACAGTGGTACCTTTGACTCCCAGCTACAGTATAGATGGCTTGTTTTTCCCCCCAATGCCTTTCAGCTCGGCCTCTCGAGCACTTGAGTCACCTGTTGGGTAGTCTGACCTTGCAGGAAAGTAGTGGCAGTTTCAGATAGGCTGCTTAGAGTTTTAGAGACATAAGTCCCTGGTGATCTTGAAAGTGATTTTGGGAGTGAACTGTCACAGCTAGGTTTTATCAAATGGCCTGGGAAATGCAGAATAAAGAACGCCATTCCTATCAGATCTGGAACAGGTAATGGGGTTGGCGTTGAATGAAAAAATATGATTTTAACCAAGAAGCAGTATTTCTGTAAAACTTTTCTGCCTGGCTCCTTTCTACTGTTATTACCTGTAATTTCATCATCTATTCACTTTAGTTCTGTACAGTGTGATGTCTTTGGGGCCAGCGGGTATTTTTGCCTGCTAGTTGTAGAAGTGTTTGCTCTTAGGGCTCCGCCGTGGCTGAGGGAGGCAGCCCCACCCCCTCTCAGGTTGCTTGGCACCAACCCTCCCTGGTTGTTGGGCATCTTGTTTACTGCTGCCCTTAATTCCCTGCAGGTGCGGAAGTACAAGAGCATGATCCTGGAAGACCTGGAGTCCGCCCTGGCAGAACACGCCCCCGCGCCACAGGAGGTTAACTCCGAGCTGCCACCTCTCACCATCGATGGAATTCCGGTCTCTGTGGACAAAATGACCCAGGTAAGGGGCGGGAAGGAGGAGACAGAAAGACAAGTCGCCTGGGTGTGGGCGGGCCTTCTCAGTTTTATGCTTGGTGATACCAGCAAGAGAGAGAGATACAGGCTGGGTTCTGATAGCGTCTGGCAGGGTAGCAGCCTTGGGGTAGAGAATGTAGCCTCAGAAGAATGCTCTCCTCCGTGGTTGGCAGTTCTTTCCTTTCACTTGGGCCCTTGGGTTCGATAAAGAAACTCATAGCTCGGAATTGGTTTGCTTGGACAGGTGACTGTCAGCACTTTGATGAACCACCGCCAAGCAGGGCAGGTAAACTGTTAGTCTTTCGGGTTAAGTTGTTCCTCTTTCCAAATTCTGAATACCACTGTGCTGTCGCCAAGGAAGGTTCCCCTCTCTGGGGAATAAGAATGGAAAACTCAGGATACCCTTCTGAGTCATTGCTTCTCTTCTCTTGCTTTGACGAGGGAAGTCAAGATGCACTTAGCCTGATAAATCAGCATTGCTCAGGAGTTTTGCTGAGATTGTCCATTTTGAGTATCTCAGCTTTGAAAGTGATAGCTTAGGCAAGATCATATGCCCTTTTTATAACATATTTTCCTACCTTATTTCTTTATTAATGTATTCCTCTCTTGCTAAACCCAGTTGTGGGTTTTCTTATCTGATTCAGTCTTCCAGCAGCACTTAACACAGTTGATTATTCCCTCCTTTAAACACTTCCTGCTCTCTCTTTCTGCCCCCACACTCTCCTGAATGTCCTCCTGCCTCACTCTCAGCTTTTCTGCCGGCTCTTCCTCCTGTTCTCAGTGATCAGGATTGGCATGTCTGTTTCTTTAGTTTCTTTCCAAGTGGTCTCATCTGTCCTGCGGGCTTTATGTATGTCCCCTCTGTATCCTGTTTACAGCCCAGCTTATAGAGCTCACTCTAGACATCCAGTGCCCAGCATGCCCCAGACACAGAACCTTTGATTGCCCTATTCCACTCCCTCTACAGTCCCCGTATCAGTGACCAGCACCACGTCCATCTGGTCGCTCAGGTGCCGGCATAGGAGCACCCCTCTGTTTCCCTGTTTTGCCCTCACTCCCACATGAGTCATTAGCACGTCATGTCAGTTCAGCTCTGAGATGGGCCCTGGATCTGACCATTCTTCTCAGTTCCTGTCACCGCCCTCGCCCAAGCCAAGTATCTCTCACGTAGAGACTATTTCACCTGATCGATTCTGTTGCTCTCCTTCTTGCCACTCTTGCCCTGCTGAAGTCTGTACTTCATGGAACCACCAGAGGTTTTTTCCAAAACTTAGATCAGCTCATATCACTGTCTTATTTAAGTCCTTTAATGGCTTTCCACCATACCTAGAGTCAAATTCAGACTGCTGGGGCCTCTGAGGCCATGTTTAACCTGAGAATCCAGCCTCTTCCAGCTCCCTTGTTCAGTCTCCTGCTCAGTCACTGTGCTCTGGCCGCCCTGGCCCTCTTTTTGTCAAACACTTCAAGCCCATTCTTTAAGATTGGCAGTTTCCTCTGCCTGAAATGTTGTTCTCCCAGATCATTACATGCTTAACCTTACCCTGTTCAAAGTCTGGCTCAGACGTCACCTCATGAGACAAGCCTTTCTCAATTATCCCATCTAATGGAGCTTCTCCTTGCTACTGAGTCACTGTCCAGCACATCCCCTATTTTACTGTCTCGGAAACACCAATTACTACCTGAAATCATCTTCTTCATTAACATGTATACTTATCTGCGATCTCTTCAGCTAGAATTTGAGAGCAGGGCTCTAGAGAGTTTTGTTCTTGACTGCCATCCACTGCGGCTCCCGGCACCTGAAGAACCTCTCAATTCTAAATAACAGTATCTGTCCAGTATCTGTCTCTGACCTAAGAGTCAGAGTAGAACGCATCCAGCGTGGTAGGTGTCTGGATTGGAAATCTCCCGAGTGCGTGTCCCCTGGCCGCAGACATGCACGCTGCTAATCAGGAGATGGCACTTTTTTCCTGCTGAGTCTGAACCCACCGCTTGGCCTAAAGCGATACAGTAGTTTGTAAAGCTACATTGGGATGTTTTGCTTATTGGATTCATGGATCTTTCTGTGAACACTTGAAGAATATCTAAATAATGGTTCAGAAAGGAAAGCATTAGCCTAACTTTTTTCCAGTCACTTCATACCTATTATTCTGTCCTTAAGACTGTTCTAATTAAAGAAAATAAGGAGAATTTTTTTTTACCTGATTGATGTACAGAATCTACTCAGTGCCTCAGATACAAGGTATCTATAAGGTTAACTAAGCTTCTGATTAAGACTACTCTGTTAGGCATGTGAGGTGTTGTGCTCTTTCCTGTGCATATCAAAATTTAACCTTGTGTATGTCACGCCCTCCAGGTAAGCAAGGATGTATGTCCATGGCCTTGTTTACAATAGGAAAATCTGAGAACAAAGTGCTTGAATAAATTATAGTGGTGAGGGGCGCCTGGGTGGCTCAGTGGGTTAAGCCGCTGCCTTCGGCTCAGGTCATGATCTCAGAGTCCTGGGATCGAGCCCCGCATCGGGCTCTCTGCTCTCTAGGGGAGCCTGCTTCCTCCTCTCTCTCTGCCTGCCTCTCTGCCTGCTTGTGATCTCTCTGTCAAATAAATAAATAAAATCTTAAAAAAAAAAAAAAATTATAGTGGTGATGTTTAGAATTTACATGAGAAGATGAGCAGCTCCCAAAAGAGACCAGAAATTTACTATTCAGTGAAATATTGGATACCAAAAATGCTGACTTGTTCTCTATTGTAGTGGGACAGAGTTCTGGTAGTTTTTAACTGCTTGTAAAAATAACATTTCTTATGTACTCTAATTCAAGTGCTTTATTTAGTACTTTGTTTAATGCTTTGTATTGTGGTTCTTTGGGAGAGGGTTAGATTTTTTTTTTTTTCCAGGGGATACATAATTAATCAATTTCATTTGTTTAAAACATGCACACAAAACTTGCGTGTGTGTGTATGTTTCATGTGTGTAAAACTTCAGAGAAAATATAAACCTATTTACTATCATACCTTAATATTAACAGTGATTATCTGTGCATGGTGGCATTATGGGTGATTTTTATTTTCTTTGTCTAATAAGCATGAATTACTTTTATAACCATAGAAACACAAAAAATATTTTATTTATATTAAACTTGAATTTTTTTTTTAAGATTTTTATTTATTTGACAGACAGAGATCACAAGCAGGCAGAGAGGTAGGCAGAGAGAGAGGGGGAAGCAGGCTCCCCGCTAAGCAGGGATCCTGAAGCGAGGCTCGATCCCAGGACCCTGGGATCATGACCTGAGCTGAAGGCAAAGGCTTTAACCCACTGAGCCACCCAGATGTCCCTAAACTTGAATTTTTTTCAGTATAAGTGTGTTGAACTTTATGTTGGGTAAAAATGTCAACATCTCTTTTTATTTCTCTTATTTTTCTCTTCTATAGCTACGATTATTTTGGAAGGCACACTACTAAGTTATTTACAGGGGTATCTCATTTAATCCTTGCTCTCCAGAGTGTATATATCATTCCTCTTTCATAATCAAGGAAGCAGAACTCACATGCGGTCAGTAGCCATGAAGGACTAAGTAAATTTAATTGGACACCAATTCTAGAATTCGGACCATATGGGGGATTCATGACTTCCTTGAAGTGCTAAAATTCCAGAATGGTAGAAGTGCGCTGTAACAGATCTGGGCTTTGGTTAACCAGACAGCTCTATGCGACATCTTATCTGCACTGAATGCAGTGGAAATAACGAATGTTTATACTGATGATCCTAACTCACAAACATAATTCTCTGCACAATCCTAAGATGAGTTTTCAGTCGTCCAAAGAGTAAATTGTATTCGATACTGTTCTAATGTTATGTGTTCCATTATTTTAATTCTTTATAAATTTGAGAATTAGTCTGGTTTTTTACAGTTGGAAGGTCTAGTCTCTGGTCCCCAGTCCTACCACATACAGCCCTGGCTCCCAGTTTTATCTTCTGAAAATGAGAATACTATATGCCCTCCTACTTTATGGAATCAGAGGAAGAAAAAATGAGGTATTATATGGGAAAGTGCTTTGAAAATGAAGGCGCCACACAAAGATAGTATTGCCAATTATTAATACTGTTTATATTACCTATATTAACTTTTGAGTAACCTGAACATATCATTTCTCACCCATTTTTCACTTACAGAAAGTTAGTGAACCTGGAATTTTTATTTGACTCAGCAATGAAGTGGGACAATACAGGTGACAATATACTGAAAAACTGAGGCATAAAGAGAGGAAGCAATTTATGAAACAAGTTAGTGACAAACAGAAATGGTATTAAAGGGTAGAGTCCTTACTGCCAGTGCTTTCTCTCTTTTTCTTTAGAACTGTATTGTGATCATTACTCAAATTGAGTATTTCAGCTAACCTATGCTAAACATTTACTGTTTTAAAGGAATTTTTTTTTAAAGATTTTATTTATTTGACAGAGAGACAGCAAGAGAGGGAACACATGCACGGGCAGTGGGAGAGGGAGAAGCAGGCTCTCTGCTGAGCAGGGAGCCCGATGTGGGGCTCGATCCCAGGACCCTGGGATCATGACCTAAGCCAAAGGCAGGCACTTAATGACTGAGCCACACGGGCGCCCCTTAAAGGAATTTCTTGACTTGCTCTAACAACTATCACAATTATCTCTTATACAAATTGAAATTACATATGATAGAATATCTTAAGTTCTGTGTGAACTAAATGCTCTTGTTCTTTTAGGAAGCAGCTCTGTAGTTTTTGTTGTTTTTTATTAACTTTTGGTTTTGGTACACATATCATACTATGTAAGTAATAGAATGTTTACATAAACATTTACTTAGAAACAGAAACTGTTATAAATATATCTTGATCCTGATGAAGTTGTGTGTGTGTGTGTGTGTGTGTGTGTGTGTGGTAAAAAATACATAGCTCTGTAGTATTTTTAGTGCTAAAATGAAAACTTGCATTTCTAGGTACCTTTAAGAATAGTGGCTA